AAGGATTACATTAAAAAGGATTACATTGAAAAGGGTTAAATTGAAAATGATTACATTGGAAAGGATAACATTGGAAATAATTACATTTAAAATGATTAAATTGAAAAGGATTAAATTGAAAATAATGACATTGGAAAGGATTTCATTGAAAAGGATTACATTGAAAAGGATTACAATGAAAAGTATTGCATTGACAAGGAATACATTAAAAAGGATTACATTAAAAAAAGATTAAATTGAAAAGCTTTAGAGGCTATGTTCAATAAAAATTCTTAAAAATTTGAATTTTATTTTAAAATATTAAAAAATTTTTTTACTCCGACCTTTGGAATTGGTAGCTCAAATCCGTGGATTCGTTCTCCCTAGGAGAAATCCACAAATTAAACTATGCCTTAAAAATTATCACGACTTTTCCTTCTAATTTTTCTTAGCTATGATGCATGGATGGATTAAGCGCTGAGGAATTCTGAGCACAGCCAGCATAGGGAATCATGAGGCTCAGGACATAGCAAACATGGAGACACATGGGGCTGTGGACATAGCGAATGTAGGGACACATGAGGCTGTGGACATAGCGAATGTAGGGACACATGGGGCTGTGGACATAGCGAATGTAGGGACACATGGGGCTGTGGACATAGCGAATGTAGGGACACATGGGGCTGTGGACATAGCGAATGTAGGGACACATGGGGCTGTGGACATAGCGAATGTAGGGACACATGGGGCTGTGGACATAGCGAACGTAGGGACACATGGGGCTGTGGACATAGCGAACGTAGGGACGCATGGGGCTGTGGACACAGTGAATGTAGGGACACATGGGGCTGTGGATATAGCGAACGTAGGGACACATGGGGCTGTGGACACAGTGAATGTAGGGACACATGGGGCTGTGGACACAGTGAATGTAGGGACACATGGGGCTGTGGACACACACACAATATAAATGTTTGATATGTTCTAATTGTTGTTTTTTCACAGTTGACGTAGAAAATCCCCAGTAATGTAAACAGAGAACTAGCCATACTGTACACAGATGATCCCCAGAAGTGTGCATAGAAAATCCACAGTAGTTTACACAGAAAATCCCCAGTGGTGTACACAGAAAATACCCAGTAGTGAACACAGAAAATCTCCACTAGTGTATACCGAGAACCCCAAGTAGTGTAAACAAATAATCCTCACTACTGTACACAAAAAATCCCCACTAATGTACACAGAAAATCACCAGCAGTATACACAGCAAATCCGTCGGCATGTAAAAAATAAAATCCCCAGTAACGTACACAGTTTATCCCAGCAGTGTGCACAGAAAATACCCAGTAGTGTAAAGAAAATACCCAGTAGTGTACACAGTACTCAGGAGGGTAAATACAATATGGGTGGGGACAAATATGCGACTGTGTGGTGACATCAGGCAGGCACTAGCCGTCTCAACATCTTGATGCAGCCTGTGGTGTCTGGGAAGAGAGGGGCAGCGTATCGGACGAAGTCCTAGACTCATTGTCTGCCAAGGCAATGAATGTATGCATCGATAGTAAATGTCTGCAAGGGCAATGATGTCTGCCACGGCAATGAGTGTCTGCAAGGGCAATGATGTCTGCCACGGAAATGAGTGTCTGAGACGGCAATGAATGTCTGCAAGGGCAATGATGTCTGCCACGGCAATGAGTGTCTGAGGCGGCAATGAATGTCTGCAAGGCCAATGATTTCTGCCACGGCAATGAGTGTCTGAGACGGAAATGAATGTCTGCATGGGCAATGATGTCTGACACGGCAATGAGTGTCTGAGACGGCAATGAATGTCTGCAAGGGAAATGATGTCTGCCACGGCAATGAGTGTCTGAGACGGAAATGAATGTCTGCAAGGGCAGTGATGTCTGAGACGGCAATGAGTGTCTGAGACGACAATGAATGTCTTCAAGGGCAATGATGTCTGCCACGGCAATGAGTGTCTGAGACGACAATGAATGTCTGCATGGGCAATGATGTCTGCCACGGCAATGAGTGTCTGAGACGACAATGAATGTCTGCATGGGCAATGATGTCTGCCACGGCAATGAGTGTCTGAGACGACAATGAGTGTCTGCATGGGCAATGATGTCTGCCACAGCAATGAATGTCTGAGACGGAAATGAATGTCTGCAAAGGTAATGAATTTCCATCAGAAAATTAGAAAAGTCATTAACGGAGTCAAACGTTGTTGGTCAGGTATCTGGTTAGCTGATTACAATGAAGCTAATTGATGAGGATGTAAGATGTTTGTCTAAATCTGACCAACACAATGGGTCTCAGCATTACGAACATAATCCGATATGAAATTCGTTATGTGGAGATTTTTATTATGTAGGGAGTTTGTGATGTGGAGAGATTTTGATATGTGGAGTTTGTTTTGTGGGGAGCTTGTTATGAGGGGAGTTTGTTATGTGGTGAGTTTGTTATGTGGAGAGTTTGTTATGTGGAGAGTTTGTTCTGTGGAGAGTTTGTTATGTGGTGAGTTTGTTATGTGGTGAGTTTGTTATGTGGAGAGTTTGTTATGTGGAGAGTTTGTTATGTGGAGAGTTTGTTATGTGGTGAGTTTGTTATGTGGAGAGTTTGTTATTTGGAGAATTTGTTATTTGGAGAATTTGTTACGTGGAGAGTTTGTTATGTGGTGAGTTTGTTATGTGGTGAGTTTGTTATGTGGAGAGTTTGTTATGTGGGAAGTTTGTTAGGTGGGGAGTTTGTTATGTGGGAAGTTTGTTAAGTAGGGAGCTTGTTATGTGGGGAGTTTGTTAAGTGGGAAGCTTGTTATGTGGGGAGTTTGTTATGTGGGAAGTTGGTTATGTAAGGAGTTTTTTATGTGGAGAGTTTGTTATGTGGGGAGTTTGTTATGTGGAGAGTTTGTTAAGTGAGGAGCTTGTTATGTAGGAAGTTTATTATGTGGGGAGCTTGTTATGTAGAGAATTTGTTATGTGGGGAATTTGTTATGTAGGGAGTTTGTTATGTGGGGAGTTTGTATGTGGGGAGTTTGTTATGTGGGGAGTTTGTTATGTGGGGAGCTTGTTATGTAGGGAGTATGTTCTGAGGTGAGTTTGTTATGTGGGGAGTTTGTTAAGTTGGGAGCTTGTTATGTAGGGAGTATGTTCTGAGGTGAGTTTGTTAGAAAGGGAGATTGTTATGTGGAGAATTTGTTATGTGGGGAGATTGGTAGGTGGGGAGTTTGAAATTTGGGGAGCTTGTTATATAGGGAGTTTGTTATGTGGGGAGCTTGTTATGTAGGGAATTTGTTATGTGGGGCGCTTGTTATGTAGGGAGTTTGTTATGCGTGGAGCTTGTTATGTATGGAGTTTGTAAAGTGGGGAGCTTGTTATGTAGGGAGTTTGTTTAGTGGGGAGTTTGTTATATAAGGAGTTTGTTAAGTGGGGAGTTTGTTATGTACGAAGTTTGATAAGTGGGGAGCTTGTTATGTATGGAGTTTGTAAAGTGGGGAGTTTGTTAAGTAGAGAGTTTGTGATGTGGTGAGTTGGTTATGTAGGAAGTTTGTTATGTTGGGAGATTGTTATGTGGGGAGATTGGTATGTGGGGAGTTTGTAATGTGCGGAGCCTGTTATGTGGAGAATTTGTTATGTTGGGAGTTTGTAATGTTGGGAGTTTGTTATGTTAAAAGTTTGTTATGTTGAGAGTTTGTTATGGGGAGAGTTTGTTATGTGGAGAGTTTGTTTTGTTGGGAGCTTGTTATGTTGGGAATTTGTTACGTGGGGAACTTGTTATATGGGAGCTTGTTATATGGGGAGTTTGTTTACATGAGCATTTTGTTATGTGGGGAGTTTGTAAGTTTGGGAGCTTGTTATGTAGGGAGTTTGTTATGTGGGGAGCTTGTTTAGTGGGAAGTTTGTTATGTATGGAGTTTCTTGTGTGGGAGTGTGTTATGTAGGAAGTTTGTTATGTGGGGAATTTGTTATTCTGGGAGTTTGTTATGTGGGGAGTTTGTTATTCTTGGAGTTTGTTATGTGGAGAGTTTGTTATGAGGGAAGCTTTTATTTGGGGAATTTCTTATGTGGGGAGTTTGTTATGTGGGAAGTTTGTTATTTGAAGAGATTATTATGTGGGGAGAATGGTTTGAAAAGAGTTTCTTATCTGGAAGTTTATTATGTGGAGAGTTTGTTATGTAGGAAGTTTGTTATTTGAAGAGATTATTATGTGGGGAGAATGGTTTGAAAAGAGTTTCTTATCTGGAAGTTTATTATGTGGAGAGTTTGTTATGTAGGAAGTTTGTTATTTGAAGAGATTATTATGTGGGGAGAATGGTTTGAAAAGAGTTTCTTATCTGGAAGTTTATTATGTGGAAAGTTTGTTATGTAGGAAGTTTGTTATTTGAAGAGATTATTATGTGGGGAGAATGGTTTGAAAAGAGTTTCTTATCTGGAAGTTTATTATGTGGAGAGTTTGTTATGTAGGAAGTTTGTTATGTCGAGAGTTTGTTTTATTGGGAGTATGTTATGTGGAGATTTTGTTATGTAGGGAGTTTGTTATGTGGGGAGTTTGTTATGTGGGGGAGTTCGTTATGCACGGAGTTCGTTATAATAGGAAGTTCGTAATACATGGAGTTTTTGTTCCCTGATGCCTTAAATATACAGTTCAATTTTTATGCCAGATTTTTTTTTTTAATAAATATTGAAATCACAGAAATACCAAGAAAGATAATTCTTTTGAAACAACATTTCTTTTTTTTCCAATAGGTTACCCTTTTTTTTTTAAAAAAAATACTTTATTACAATTACTTTGAAGATAAAAGATATTGAAGATAAAAAAATTATAAAGAATTATGGTATTTCTGACACCACCTCCCCTTCCCCCTCCGCCACTCCCATTTATACACATTCTTTAATTCTAAATCTTTAGAGACAGTAGTGACAAAAAAAAAAAAAAAGTTTGAGATCCACTGCTTGCAAGGAATGATTCTCTGTCGTCTCAAATGACAGACGCGCCCACCGTTGCACTCACATGATGTTCATGTCACATGACAGACGCGCCCACCGTTGCACTAACATAATGTGCATGTCCTCCCATGAAGAAGGAGCCTGAATCGTTTACTCCGATACCGCCGCCCGTGGTTTGCCAACACTCTACAGTCTCGCTCCACAGTCATATTCTGTGTTAAGTTTGTAGGATTGTTTAATTGAGCCGTAAGACTTAAGACGAAGTAAGTGCACACTTTGTTGAACCTGGGCTTTAAATATGTTTTTAAGACCCTTTTCGATGATACTCTTTCCGATGACACTCTTTCCGATGATACTCTTTTCGATGATACTCTTTTCGATGATACTCTTTCCGACGATACTTTTTCCGATGATATTCTTTTCGATGATACTCTTTTCGATGATAATCTTTTCGATGATACTCTTTTTCGATGATACTATTTTCGATGATACTCTTTTCGATGATACTCTTTTCGATGATACTCTTTTCGACGATACTCTTTTCGATGATACTATTTTCGATGATACTATTTTCGATGATACAATTTTCGATGATACTCTTTTCGGTGATACTATTTTCGATGATGCTCTTTTCGATGATACGCTTTTCGATGATACTCTTTTCGATGATACTCTTTTCGATGATACTCTTTTCGATGGTACTATTTTCGATGATACTCTTTCCGATGACACTATTTTCGATGATACTATTTTCGGTGATACTCATTTATTTAATTTATACTTTCATTGCCCCCCCCCCTCTAGGGTGCACGCCACAAGTCCTGATCAACAGGTCTAAACCATTCGTTTGGGTATAAAGTTTATTTGACATTGTTTAGAAATGCACATCACAAATGTACATCGAATAATTACATCAACTATGTACATCAAATGTCTTTCTGCCATCTCTAATGAGTTCCTATTCGGGGACTAGACTAATAAAAGAACTAAATATATACAATTTTATTTATTCATAACAGGGTCCATAGCCAAAAAATGAATGCTTCTAGGACATTCAGTAATCGAGCAAGATCATACGGGGACATCGTGTCTCTATTGATGACTTTGATGCAAGTTATAGACACGTCTGACTACGTAGCCCTCGCTTTTGGAATCTTACCAAACTTGTGGATCCTGCTGGCCACACTTACGTCACAGGATCTCCGTGCACGCATGCGCAATAAAATCGTCTGCAGCTTCTGCGTGCTGCACCTCCTGAACTGCTTGCTGTTCATGCCGATGCGGATAGAAGTCACTCGTCTTCGCCGTCTTTATTATAAAATAAACTGTGACTTTTATAACTTCGTCACACTTATGGAACTCTTGCAGGACTTCATCTTCAACTGGACGTTGGTGCTGCTGATCGTAGTCTTCGTCGCCCGAATTTGTGACTTCAAGCCGTACGCGGGTTTGACAAGTTTGACAACGACGCTTGGAACGTACGCCATCTTGATCTCACCTTGGGTGGCTTCCCTTGTCATCATCCCAGGAGTTAGGAACTCGCTTTGGTATTCTTATCTTAAAAGCAACAATATTTCCACCACTAATGGCTGTATATTCTCAACATCAGATACGTTACTTGTTATCAAATCCCTGGATACGGCTGTGCCCCTGTTGATTTCTGTAGCCCTAATGGTGACGGCTGTCGTATTAAGGCGCCGAAGGTTCACGAGAGGATTCTCTGGGGACATGGAGGTGGAGCTCATTGAACGGGGACCGGAAGTCGACGGCCATTTTGGATACACGGCAGCTGTTGTCGTGTCGTTTGTTTGCGACTTCGCCACTGCATTCATGATTTTTGATCTGATTGAGATCAGGATGACCCAAAGGTATGCAAATTTTACATAAATATGTGCTGATATTACTCATAATCTGACTAAACTTATGCAGGTGAGTGATAATTGTACATAAATATGGGCTGATCTTAATCATAATCTGAATAAACGTATGTGCTATAATTTTAAGCAAAGAATGACAATAATATCTTAGTGATAGGTCAATTTTGCACCGTGTTTGCCCGTTATTACATAGTTTTAGACTAAAATTGGTCAATACTATGCTAATCTAATACAAATTTATATCAATATTTCACCGTGAGGATAATCTTGTACAAATTAATTGTACACAAATAGTCTAAAAGTTCTGCATTGACTCTATTTAAATATATCTCTGATCACTTCCAAGTTCTCCAAGAAACCCTTTACAAAACCCTTGAAAATCACTTTCGAATTTCTTGTTTAGTTTTGGCTTGTTCCGTTTTGGGACCGATTGTATTCACAATGTCTACCCGGCCACTGCTCCTCTTGCTCGGGAGCCATGCCGTGGGGAGCCAGTCATTCGAACAGGACACGCAGCTATACAAGCATAGCTATCTCTCTCATGTCGATTCTGCTGTCCGGACTTGGCGGGAGAGCATTGATGATGTCAAGACATGGATGACACTCGGCAAGTTGAAGCTTCATCATCATCCTCATGTCCCTTAGTACTTGAACCGTTGGGGCGCCACAGATGACATGTGAACCATCCTCCTCCATTCGTCTCTGTCTTCAGCACTACGCACTGCATCGCCCAGTGTTAGTCCTGTCCACTCTTTGATGTTATGCTCCCATCTTTTTCTTTGTCTTCCTCTTCTTCTCCCTCCTCTTGTGGTGCCCTGCAATATTTCTTTGGCAAGCCCTTGTTTCCTTGTTACGTGGCCGTACCATTGTAGTTTGCGTTTTGTCAGAGTCACCAGTAGGTCAAGGTACTCCCCAATTGCCTGACGAACCCTTTCTTTCACTGTATCATTGGAGATATGATTCCTATATAGCAGGTGCCAAAAATTCTTCTGAATGATCTCATCTCCATCGCCTTTATTTTCCTTTCAAGATCTTCTGTTAATGTCCAGGACTCGCAGGCATAGAAAAAAAATGGAGAGGACTAATGAGCACATCAGCCTGATTTTGGTGCTGGGGGCTATATTTTTGTCATTCCATATTTTCTTGAGCTTTTTAGTACTGTTGTGGTCTGCGCCATCCAGGACATCAGTTCGGGCTTGTAGCCTTCTTCTGAGACTATTCCTCCTAGGTATTTGAAGTTGAAGCTTAACGATGACAAAACGGAAGCACTCCTTAATCACGATCACAAATCATCCTCTAACTCAGCTCTCCCCCTTTGATTTCAAGTAGGTAACTCCGGCACACAGTCTACATCCTCCGCTATTAATCTTGGTTATATTTTATCCAGCAACATGTCTCTCGACAATCCTATCTCTCACATTTGTCACTCTGCATACACTGCTATCCGTCAGATCAGCTCCATCTGCGACAACCTCTCAGTTAGTGCAAAAAAACACCAAAAAAAAACCCTAGTCTGTGCTCTAGTTCTCTCTCGTCTTGACTATTGTAACTCTCTTCTATCAGGTTCACCAAAACACTTCTTAGAAAATATAAAAAAGGCTCAAAACTCAGCTGCTAGGCTAGTTCTAAAGGCGAACAAATTTGATCACGTCTCACCACTACTTTATTCACTTCATTGGCTCTCTGAACAAGCATGGATTGACTACAAACACTCTGTTCTCTGCCACAAATTGTTCTCGAATTCCTGCCCTTCCTACCTAACCGAACTTCTTTCTGTCTATTCACCCCTTCGACAGCTTCGCTCCTCTGCAGACGCGCGTATTCTTTCTGTTCCCAAGAATCGCACAAAAACCTACGGCGAACGATTCCCAAGAATAGCACAAAAACCTCCGGCGAACGATCGTTCTCTTTCTGCCCCCCCCCCCCCCCAAACAATGGAATTCTCTTCCACTACACATCCGAAATAAACCGACCATCACAGCCTTCAAAACTGCTCTCAAAACACATCTCTATAAACTCTACTATCCTGACTGATTCCTACCTCTGATCGATAAACGATGCTGCTGGGTGCCGTCCATGGCTTGACATCTAAATAGTTTTAGTAGAATGGGTGTATTGAACAAACATGTGTTTTGTTTTATATTAATTAATGTATGTTAATTTTTAAGTTCATGATTATATTTGTTAAATTCTTTGTACAGCGCGGTGAGCCCTGCCCTAGGCTGGGGTATCGCACTATATAAAACCACAAACAATAATAATAATATTAAAATTTTGTTTTATTTACAGATGGGTCTACTATACCGTGGCGTACGTCATGTCCCAGACTAAAGTCTTCCTCACTCCTCTGCCCTGGCTGCTCTTTCCAGACATCAGAGAGCGTGTCAAGACGTGGAGACCGTGGCACTCTGTCAAACTCTGGCATTGACTTGACACTCGCCTTAGTCAACCGTATGTTCTTGGACGTGCCATTTACACGGCCATCTGTGTGTTCATTTCCCCTAATTAACTTTATACTGTGTGGGAATTCATTCAAATCGATAAAAGAATGGAACGAATCAAATATCCGATAGGAATGGATATAGAATATGATATGGATTTAACTTCTTTCCGTCTAATTATAAGCACATCTATACGAATGCTCTATTATATCTAGCGATGTTTCTGTCAGCTTTTAAGCCGTGTCATGTTCTGTAAATTTTTAAGGGGAAAAAAATATTGTTCAATGTTAACTTTTAAACATCTCTATATTATATATATATACATTAGTAGCCCTGATCAAATAAATAGCTATAGTTGCTCAAATAACACTAAAAACAAAACATTATAAACATCTTTGTAACAATAAAATACTGTAACTAAGAAGATTTTTTTGTGTTGCATTGTCCTTTTAAAATATAGTTTCGGATATTAATTGTTTTCTGCAACAATTGATGGCCGCATCGCTTTCGTGTCCAATGTCACGATGAAACTTACAATTTTCAGACAAAAACCATCCTAATTGAATTATCTGGAATTATTCTGTAGAGTTTGTGTCCTGGGGTTGCTTTGCCGGGAGGGGAGGTTTTATCGGAAGTTGTGGGGGGGGGGGTGTTGTTGGGAGGTGGGGGGGGGGGGGGGGATTGTCGTCAGACATCCGTTTGACGGTGCCGAAAATTCCATTCATAAAATTTCAGCTGAAGTGAATGGTCTTATGTCAGTTCTGATGTGAGCAGTCTCATGTCAGTATTGATGTGAGCAGTCTCATGTGAGTATTGATGGGAACAATCGTATGTCTGTACTGATATGAACGGTCTCATGTCAGTTCTGATGTGAGCAGTCTCATGTCAGTATTGATGTGAACAATCGTATGTCTGTACTGATATGAACGGTCTCATGTCTGTACTGATGTGAACGGTCTCATGTCTGTACTGATGTGAACGGTCTCATGTCTGTACTGATGTGAACGGTCTCATGTCTGCACTGATGTGAACGGACTCATGTATTTACTGATGTCATCGGTCTCATGTCCATAATGATGTGAATGATCTCATTTCTGTACTAATGTGAACACAAACTAAGACATCTTTGATTACCTGACAGGGATCAATGACTCAGAACACAAACTGAGACATCTTTGATGCCTGCAGGGATCAATGACTCAGAACACAAACTGAGACATCTTTGATGCCTGCAGGGATCAATTGCTCAGAACACAAACTGAGACATCTTTGATGCCTTGCAGTGATCAATGGCTCAGAACACAAACTTAGACATCTTTGATGACCTGACAGGGATCAATGGCTCAGAACACAAACTAAGACATCTTTGATGACCTGACAGGGATCAATGGCTCAGAACACAAACTGAGACATATTTGATGCCTTGCAGTGATCAATGGCTCAGAACACACACTTAGACATCTTTGATGACCTGAAAGGGATCAATGGCTGAGAACACAAACTAAGACATCTTTGATGACCTGACAGGGATCAATGGCTCAGAAGACAACTAAAACATCTATGAAGACTTGAAAGTGGTTGACCTTCTCGGGTTTCATTGAGGGCACATCATTTTTTGTGGACGTTTCCTTTGTGGAACAGTCGTGATGACAGCAACCATTACAAAGTGAGACTGTGGCCTCCTAGATCTGAGCTCACTGTTCGTCGGCACACCGTTCAACACGAATCGTTGGTTGAACTATGGACAGTATACTAACCACAACTTAAAATTAAATGGGTTTCAATGGAAAATGTTGCATTAACAATGGATCTTACTGAAAAATCTGAAAGAAATATTCGGAGAAATCAAAATTGATTAACATTAGCTAACATCTTGAATCTTTATTGGCCCCAAATTTCGCAAACTGAAGCGTGATTTTTTTTAAAATTTACAAGTAAGATGAATCCTCATGAAGTTTTCCGCGGGGGGGTGCATGTACGTTGTAGTGAAAAACTTTCTTTTGGATCAGTGGGCTCAGCACTACGGTAGCAGAACTAAGGTAGTAGAACTAAGGGAGCACATCTACGGTAGCAGAACTACGGTAGCAGACTTATGGTAGCAGAACAACAGTAGCAGAACTAAGGTAGCAGAACTAAGGGAGCACATCTACGGTAGCAGAATTAAGGTAGCAGAACTAAGGTAGCAGAACAACGATGGCAGAACCACGGTAGCAGAACGACGGTAGCAGAACTATGGTAGCAGCAGTAAGGTTGCAGAACTACGGTAACAGACTCCAAGCAAATCGTTTCTCGTGATGTCCATAAAATGTAGTTCTTACATTTTCATCCTGGTGTTGTACCATCGAACGTGGTTGGTGGAAGCAGTGAGCACGGTGAGGAGGGTGAAGAGAGTGTCATTAAGACGTCTTCAGTCTGCGGATAAAAGGTGTCAAGTCCAACGAAGCAAGGTGTCAATGCCATGAAAAAAAGGTATCAAGGCCATGGAAACAGGGTATCAAGGCCACTGAAGCGATGTGTCAAGGCCATGGAAACAAGGTGTCAAGGCCAAGGAGACAATATGTCAAGGCCATGGAAACAAGGTTTCAAGGCCATGGAAACAAGGTGTCAAGGCCAAGGAGGCAATGTGTCAAGGCCATGGAAACAAGGTGTTAATGCCATGGAAACAAGGTGTCAAGGCCACGGAGGCAATGTGTCAAGGCCATGGAAACAAGGTGTCAAGGCCGTGGAAACAAGGTGTCAAGGCAGTGGAAACATGGTATCAAGACCCTTGCAATTCATGCATGAGAAAAGCTGGGTGATTACTGCTAGTGTCTTCATTCGAAGACTCAGCGGCGACTCACGAGCGTAAGAACAAGTACCTAGAACACTTCTGAGATCGCAAAGAATCAAGCCGTGCTTGACATTTGAAAGTGCTTTTTTTTTTTGTTGTTTTTTTTGCCTTCGGGTAACTTACATATTCTTAAGCTAGATTTTTTTTTTTTAAATTTCACAAGATTCAATTTTCTTAAATTGTATTGAATTGTCTCAAAGAATTTGCCATGTTTTATTTAAGTATTAAGACTTTCTGGAATTTAAAAAAAAAAAATAATTTTAAGAAATGAAACAATAAATTTATGTTTTTTTAAAATTTTAATTAATAGTCATAAAAGAGTTTATAACATTTGTGTAATGTTGCGACTACTCTGAATATGTAAGCAAACATTAGTTCTGTTATGTAAGGAAAAGAATTAGCTCTGCTATGTAAGCAGACATTAGTTCTGTTATGTAAGCCAACATTAGTTCTGCTATTTGTTTGAAAACAAAATAATAGTTTTTACCATGATGCTTCACATGACTTCAGATTTAGAATCAGTTTCCGTTACTTTAGTATAGAATCAGTTGAATTGACTTTAGTATAGAATCAGTTGAATTGACTTTAGTATAGAATGAGTTTATGTGACTTTAGTCTGGAATCAATTCAATTGACATTAGTATAGACTCAGTTGAGTTGACTTTAGTATATAATGAGTGTATTTGACCTTAGTATGGATCAATTCACTTGACTTTTGTAAAGACGAGTGTATTTGACTTTAGTATAGAATGAGTTTATTTGACTTTAAGAGTCTTTACGGCGAAATGCGATGACATGCATAAAGCAACAAGAGGACATGATATGGAGCGCTAATCTACAGTCTACGTCATAGGGGGTGTAGTTCAACGTCTGCCTGAAGTTTGCTGTCGTATGTACGTCCATTATCTAATCTTAAGCGTTCTAGTGTTTTCTGACTCTCTAGACTCTGGGCAGTTGTGGGGGGAGGGGGAGGGGTGGGGGTGGGAGATCAAGAAGGTTTGGCTTAGCTGTTAATGTAGCTTGAGAAGCAAAACACATTCCAGCTAATTCAGAACTACCAGAAACACATCAAGTGCTGGAAACACTGGCCTGGTCACCATCGGAGGAACGATGACGACTGGCCAGCACATCAAGTGCTGGAAACACTGGCCTGGTCACCATCGGAGGAACGATGACGACTGGCCAGCACATCAAGTGCTGGAAACACTGGCCTGGTCACCATCGGAGGAACGATGACGACTGGCCAGCACATCAAGTGCTGGAAACACTGGCCTGGTCACCATCGGAGGAACGATGACGACTGGCCAGGCTAAATTAATTAAAGATCACCACAGTCAGGCCCCAAATAATGGGACAACATCTCTTACATTTTAAAATCATTATGCCAAAATGTGTTTAACTGTATCCAATGATAGCTTGAATAGCTAACTGAGTTACTCACTCTGTATTTAACTATATAAGATCATAAGACGACAATTTCCGGTCGCCATCTTTGATTTTTAATGTCTCAATCGTCAGCAATCGGATTTTCGAAAACATTTCAACCAAAAATAACAAAAACTACACCAGAGAACCGTGGTCTGGTTAAAAATTTGAGACTTGGGAAAAATGGGGCAGCCATTTTTTACAAAAATAAAATTCTACAGTACAACAGAATGCCAACCCTGTCGGTGAAAGCCTGCCAGAGCACGATAGATCATTGACTGGATGAGTGAGCTGATCTGTTGACAAGATGAGAATCCTCAAAGTCCTTCAAGTCTGAGGGACATTTTTAAAAGAAACGGGTATGCCATGGTGATAGGACCAGGGGCGTCGGACCACGGGCAACGGCGATAGAACCAGTGGCGTCGCACCACGGGCAATGGTGATAGGACCAGGGGCGTCGGACCACGGCCAATGGTGACTAGGTCAGGGGCGTCGGACCACGGGCAATGCAGATAGGACCAGGGGCGTCGGACCACGGGCAAGGGTGACAGGACCGGGGGCGTCGGACCTCGGGCAATGATGATAGGACCTGGGATGTCGGACCACGGGCAATGGTGATAGGACCAGGGGCGTCGGTATCCGTTGATGTGTCTCGAACGGAATCTGTTGGTAGGTCTCGAATGGTATTCGTTGGTGTGTCTCGAATGGTATCGGTTTGTGTGTCTCGAATGGAATCAAACGAAGGGGTCACATACTTACAAAAATTCTTTGAAAAAAAGAAGATTGGTGGGGGGGGGGGG